CACACACACACACACACACACACACACACACACACACACACTCACAGACACATTACACGCACACATGTGCACACACATGCACGCCAAACACAAAGAACATAAAATATTATTCATCGATGACTCAAAAATAAGACCATCATCCAAGATGTAATGGTGTTGAAAGACTTGTAATTTTTATAGAGTTTTCACATCATTCAATAAATTGCATGTATATGAGATTTTGTCTTGGCGAGTACCAATAGAGACAAGCGCGCATCATCGTCAGTTTACACAGAGTGTGTGATTACGTGTTTCGATAAGCTTACTTTGACCCTTCAGTGAAAGTTACTGACAATCCATGGCACTCTGCATGATTTATTGTTGTGGTACAAGTAGGTACGATTTGCACCGCTTCTTCGACACTTCTTACATAATGGCATTGTGAGTTCGTCAAATAAATTTAGACACAATAGATAAACTAATTTTTGAGTTTTGCATGAGGAAGCAAATCAACACAATATTGTTCATTAACTGGGAGGAAAGAGTAAGGCAGACAGACAAAAAAACACCAGAAAAACAAAGAAAACAAGACACAAAGTTATGATAAGATAATTTATTAATCTCCAATAATAATTTTGAAAAAAGAGCACTTGTAGAAAATGACACAAAGAACAACTGCAACGAAGCTTTAAAAATGTTTGTAAAAGTAGACCTTGTACAGTTAATTAAATTAAAAGAAACTGTCTTTTTTAACGTAAAGTTAACACACCAAACACTCTTATGAATAACTAAACTGTCACAATTTGGTATAAAAACGATGTGTTTATGAATTTGCTCATGCACACGTCCTAACTGAACAACTTTGAAAGTGCACGGTCTGCGTGTGTGTGTGTTTGTTTGTGTGTGTGCGTGTGTGTGCGTGTGTGTGCGTGTGCGTGTGTGTGCGTGTGCGTGCGTGTATGTGCGTGTGTGTGCGTGTGTATGTGTGTGCGTGCATACGTGTGCGAGTGAATGCTCCCTTTCAAGGAAGTAGCGGGTACGCCACGTACCATACTTTATGCTGTTGACATACGACCTATACAAGCAGATTGAATAGAACATAATAACTTAATTGGGTCTGAGTTAAAAAGCTTAAGATAATAACAATTTCAGGAAAAGGTGAACGATTTCGTCATCTTTCATGCTGATAAAAACGACAGGTAGGCCTACTTGATAAAACGTGAAAAAATCAGGAACTATGGGAAGAAGAGCCGAGAAAAGGTTTCGAACACCAGTGTCACAAGTGTTTTACCCTGGGGGCAGGAAACATGGCCTCTTACAAAACACATTTCTAAAAAGTTGCAGGCATTTGCCAACAGTTGCTTTTAAAAAAAATCTTTTAATTAAATTTGTTGGCCTGATATCATTAAAAATTCAACTTTTAGTGCAAACAAATCAACAGTATTTAAACATAGAATTTAAAAAATAGAAAATGGGAGTCGGGTGGAAACACTTAAAGAAAACCGAAAACAAACATTACCCATCGAGTCTTAAGTTTTAATCCACAAGATAAAAGAACGAGACGAATATCTAAAAGCACTTGAAAGAGGGACTTGACGGAAATGGGAAACAACTGTAAAAGGTGGAGACTATAGCCCTGGACAGAAATAGATGGAGAGCTTTTGGCAGCCTATACTACAGCACCAGCTTAGGATATTTTAACACCTTTTCCACAATGTATGAGTCCAAGGGACAGGTAAAGAAATTGACAACAGACATGCACAAACGAATGACAACATGAAAATGATAACAAAAATGAACGTGAGGCTACCACCTTTGAGAGAGAATCGTCCCCTGATTCTTCTCCTTATAAAAGATAAAACTTTTTTGCGGCCAGATTGGTGGAGAAAATAAAGAAAGACGCTGAGGGTAAGATAAACTTTTTTTTTTTAAAAGACGAATATTGAAGTAAAATGACGTAAAACTGGAAGTACGATACATTTCTTATTTTAGAAATGGCGAAACGAAATTTAAAAAATTTAGAGTGTAAAATTCAATAAAAATGAAATAATTAGAAATGACAGCAAATAAGAGACAACGCAATAGCGTCATCATCATTAAGTCCTATTTTTGAGAATATCGACCAGGACCGGGTCGTCTCCTTTTTCCGCCACGTCCATCGGCGTGAAAGACTCCGTGTTGTATGCCCTGACCTCTGCTCCGTGCGCCAAAAGTAGCCTTGCTATATCCTGGTACTTCTCCTTGTCTTGAGTTGTGGGCCTGGCTGTACGGCCACTCAGAGCTGGTAGATTCAGCTCCAGGTTTATGTAGATGTTTGCCTGGAAACGGACATGGGGACGCGTGATGTGTAGTTTATACCAAGTGTTTGTGCTATACATGTACTTAGAAAAGTACTTAGTAAGTAAGTAAGTAAGTTTATTCAGAGTTAAGGCCATTGGCCCACATCACACACACAAAACACTCATTTGATAAATAACGTTTCCATAATGAATAAGTACAGGTTGCGCGCATTTCTCTTATAACGAGTCAAACATTGCATATTTCTGTCACTGGGCCGAGTAGGACTGGGAGAGATTAACAATTTCCTTTGATGGACGAAGTGTGAACAATAGAAGAGTACTTAGAAAAGATATCGTGACGCAGGGCCGAACATTTTGAGACTGTTCTTTACCGACCATCAAGAATCAATTCTAAGTCAATTGAATCCCTCCCGCAAATCTCACTGAACACCTCCCTTGATTGTCCCCCAAAGAGCACATATACCAGATGTGCCATAGAGTTTTTACGGTGCTCGCAACTGCATAAGGTCATATGAGCGCCAAGGGGTAGATGTCAATAGAGAAGTCCATACAGGGAATCAGGCTTACTCTGCTCACCTCTCTAGCTTCAACAGCACAAAGTCTGCTTCGACTATTATGGCACCCAGGAAATAGCGGGTCACAGGAGTGTGACAAACATACTTTACTTTACTTTACTTTTCCGATCCAGGGGCCGTTTAAGTTCTAGCCCTTCGGTCTGTAATGACAAACATACAAAAAAAGTAGAGACAAACATGACGATAGTAAGGAGTAGGAAAGAAAACGCAGCGGTTCCCCGTTGCAGTTCAGGCACAATTATGAGCATGACACTGATAAATCAGCCAATTTAAAAATCTACTGTGCATAAGAACATGTTAATGCCCCCCTTTGGGTATGGCCTAAAGACACTTCAGTCAGTAGTAGCAACGACCCGGGTTCTGTCAAATGTGGGAATGTGGAAGTATTCCACAGGGGTACAGGGATACATATTATATCTTTCATCTGTCCAAAAACAAAGATGACAGACAATCTTGTGATAATCACAGAGGCGTATCCCTCTTGTCCATAGCTCGGAAGATCCAGGCCCTAATTCTTTTCAATCTGCTGTTGAAGCATCTCTTTTCAAATGACGCCTTACCTGAAAGTCAGTGTGGCTTTCGCACTAAAAGGGGGCACAGAGACAAAAGTTTACAATGCTGTGGTCCTCCCAACCCTGTTGTATCGTGACTTGGACGGTGTACCAAAGCCATGCCAAGAAGCTCAATCATTTCCATATAGAATGCCTCAGGAGAAATCTTGGCGTCAAATGGCAGGATAAAATACCAAGACACCAAAGTTCTCAAAAGGACAAATCCCGAAAGTTTGCTTTCTAAGCTCAAAATGACCCAACTTTGTTGGGCTGGCCACATTGTCAGAATGCCTGATTTCAGAATACCAAAGGCAGTATTCTATTCTGAACTGTCCTCATGGAAGCGTAAGGGTGGCGGATCAAAGAAAGCGCCACAAAGACAGACTTCAACATAAATACTTTAAAATGGGAGAGCCTATCTCCTGACAGACCCAGCTGGAGAGCAGTTGTCACAGGGAGGAGCAAATCAAATAGGGCTTCACGAAAAAGCAATACTGAAACCATTAGAGAAACCTGCAAGCTGCGTACATCCACAAAATGAAAGTGGATCTTTTAAATGTTCAAAACGTGCAACATTTTCTCTGCCACAATTATATTGGTCTCATCGGCCACATCAGAAGCTACAAATCGTCTTTATCTGTAATTTGTCAAATTCTTCTATTTCGCTGGAGAAATATGTATTGGTCATCGTCATACATTGACGGGCGAGTTATTATTATTACTTAGAAAAGTGATGAGGAGAAGTGAGAGAGAGAGTGTGAGAGAGAAAGAGAGTGAACGAGAGAGAAAGAAAGGGGGTGGAAGGGAGAGGGAGAGAGAGAGAGAGAGAGAGAGAGAAAGA